AAGAAAAGTAGATTTTTGTTTGTATATGCTGTCAATTATAGTTCTTAGAAAGAAAATCGAAATCGGCAAAAATCGGTATCGGCAGATCACACTAACAAAAAATCGGAAATCGGAATCGGCCAAGAAAATTGCAATCGGTGCATCTCTATTGCTAACTATTTGTTGACATTTTTTTCAACAATTTTATTATCCACTAAGTGAAAAGCACACGTCAAATCATTAAACCTATGATCTGTAATATACTAATATCTCCTTTAAACAATCTATAGAAGTTATAATGTTATGATGGCATTGAAAGAATAACAATTACTGTAGTAGTTTTGGCAAAATGATGGTTTGCACGGCAAATATTTGTAAGGCAGTGGTCTTGCTCTTTTTTCCATGTTGACCACTTGATCTGCTTTATCCCCTTTGACTGTCACAGACATATTTTCCCCCATCTTATCTAATCCTTATCCTCTCTTGTCTCCCGCTATCTCCCGCTCTATCTGGCATCAGTCCTCTAACTAACCTACCTCGGCGTTTTCCTCCGTGACCCGATTCCTCGCCCTCCTCTTACGTTCATTCCTTCATTCTGTCAGCCCCTCGTGCTCCCTCGCCATCTGTCCTGTCTTGATCTCCCTCTCTGATTATCTCTCTCTTTCCCCTATCTGTTTCTCGCCGGACATCTATTCTACACATCACTGCCGCTTTAAAGTCGCTTCCGAGTAAGAGATTGGACGGGGCCGGCGAGGAAATGACAGCGCTGCTCCAATACTGTCATGTCTCAAGGCGCTCTCGCTCAGACTGCACCTGCCCCTCACGCGAGCCTGGCCAACTGTCACTTAGTGGGGCATCTCTGCATGTTCAAGCTCTGAGATTTAAAAATCGTAGTCGCTTTAAATCATGGTCTGTCACCTTTACATCGGATGTGTCCACTTGAATTTTACTAAAGAAAGCTGAAACTCCTTTGAATTTGACGCTGTAAATGTTGCCAAGTAAGAATTGGGTGAACATTTTTTGTTCCTCTGATTAATTATTTAAATTTCCTTTGAAAACGTTTGTTTTTTGACCTATATTTACTCTATAAATGGATTGTTCTCATCTGTATAATGTGAGAAGTAGCCTATTGCACAGAGAAAAAACAAATGATTCAGAAACATTTTCACTCTGAAATGGCTAGTAAATTTTACAAACAATTACAAAAAAGGGAAGTAACAATGAATTAAACATGGAAAAATGAAACGCCGTTTTTCTGTAAAACATACTCTCCAATAATCTTTGTTTTATATTAGTGCTGTCAAACGATTAATCGCGATTAATCGCATCCAAAATAAAAGTATTTGTTTACATAATATTTGTGTGTGTAGTGTACTTTGTATATTTATTACGTATATATAAATAGACACACATGCATGTATATATTTAAGAAAAATGTTTTAATATTAAATATATTTATTTA